TTAGAATCAATGCTGTTGAGGACTGAAGGCCTGGACCTCACTTTCAAATGTGTCCTTGACTTTTTCTGTTCGTTACCCCAAAGCAGACATGTCCACCCAGGGACAGTGGCTCAGGCCATTTACCAATCAGATAGAGGATTCATGGAAATGACTCAGTGTTTACCAGGGTAAGCAAGAAAACTTGCAAGCCGTGCAAAAAAGGCACGCCCAACCAACTAACGAGTGTTACATCCTGGCATAATTGTATCTCAATGTACTTGGTCTTTGCCGTGACCAATTGTACACTGAACTTCAGTCTCCCTGATAAAGTATCAGAACTAAAAATACACTGTAAAAACGGCATTGCATTCTGGCTGGTCACACATCATCTTGCAAAAAGGGAATAAAGTATTTATGTTAATCTCTAAATTCATATTTTCAAAATTAATCTCTCATACTACTATTTCCTTCTTCATTGCTAGGCTGCCATGCAATAAATGCTCTCAAATTGTGGAACTGCAGTTGAAACCCTAAAGAGTCAGTGGGTTATTTTTTATTGTGACCATAAAATAACTTGGAAATCTTTTTGTGTTCCAGTTAAAGTTTCAACATGATATTATAAGACTCTTTGCCTTTCTCCACACCCCAATTGCAGTTTAGCAAAGCCACCATATACTGGAAGCTAAGAATTCTAAGCTATTTTATTTTCTCTGTCACATTAAAGTCAAAAGAGCATCTTAGAAAATTGTGTAAACAATAAAGTAAAATCATTGTAAATGTTGTTTCTATTTAGAGCCTATAGAGAAGGTAGTAATTTATTTATCCATGGCTAGTTTTGGTCTCAGTACTCATCTATAAAAGCAGAATCTCATTACACGCTTCCCAGAGTTGTTTGAGAATTTAATAAGATAGTAAGATGTTTAGTACATGTAAAGGATTTAGTGCAGTAGTTGAAACATAGTATGTGTTCATTTAAGAACATACATACTTATTGCCAAAAGTTAGTTCAAAGAGCCAGGCTTGCTTTTGTCAACAAAGGGGGACTTCTCCCAATTCTACCCACAGCATTTGGATTTTCTTGGTAAGGGACTGGATTCATTTATGGAAATCATAAAAACAGTGATGGGTTTATATAAAACTGTAGCTTGTTTTGGTCTCAATCATCTGCACAGGTAGCACATGAGCATAAGTTCAGTCATGGGGTGCTTTGGACTTGGCTTTTGGGTTATAAAAGAACATTTGTGAAACAATAGATCGATATGTGAACATATTATTGCACCTCTGATAAGGAGAGTCAAATGGAGCAAATTTTTACTGCCAAAATGGGGTGCTGATCAACGTGTCCTTTGCCTCCTGATGAAATATAAATGTGGGAAGATAAGGAACCTGCCTTGGTCAGGATGTCATAGAGATTCCTGGCCAATCTTAGTCGTTCACTGACACTGCAATATGCCTCTCCCTAACATGTCTTCCAAATGTCTAATTCCAGCAAGGGTTGTTAATAAAAAATAGTGATGATTCATTGAGTACTCACCCTGTGCCAACAAAGTACTCTCACCAGTTTAGCTAGTGAACATTTGCTGCTGCATGGAGGCACTGTGCAACATGCTAGGGATTCAACAAGACATATGAAAATCCCAGTCTCTCATCCTCACTCATTAGGTTCTTTATCTATTGTAGTCTTCACTGTAGGAGGGTATTTTTCTCCCCATTTCATAACTGAGAACGATGAGTTTCAGAAAGATAAAGTACCTTGCTTACGATCACACTGTGAGTGCATGTCAGAGACCGGATTCAAATCTAGGTTTGACTAATTCTTTTTTAAATTTAATTTTGTCTTTTAATTGACTTATGATAATTGTACATATTTATGGGATACATAGGGAAACATATTTGTTTCCATACATATATAGTAATCAGATCTGGGTAATTAGCATATCCATCATCTCAAATATTTTTCATTTCTTTGTGTTAGGGACTTCAATATCCTCCTTCTTGCTATTTGAAACTACATAATATAGTATTGTTAACCATAGTCATCCTACAATGCTATAGAACACTGGAATTTATACCTCTTGTCTAGCTCTAAGTTTGTTTTATCTTTTAACAAATTTCTCCTTATCTCCCCTTCTTCCTACTTTTTCCAGCCTTTCCAGCCTCTAGTGTCCTCTGTTTTACTTTCTAATTCCATGAGATCACTATTTTTTTAGATTCCACATGAGTGAGAATGTGCGGTTTGTAACATTCTGTTTCTGGCTTATTTTGTTTAATAGACCCTATTATATTCATAATGGCATGCTGTCCCCAACTATATTTAGTGTTTAGCCCTTTTTGTCATGAGAATTCTAAACTCTACTCTTTCAAGGAAGCAGTCACAGATCCAGTGTGACTCTTTGCACTGAATTTTATTTAAACCTTGTCTCAGGATTTAAACAATAGCTGCCATCTATCCATGGGTTACTTATTGCATTCCAGACATCATGGATCTTTTGCTTACATTTCTCCGTTTAACCTTCACGTCAATCCAGTGAGGGAAGTGTTTCTGCCTGTTGCTATCTGTATATGCAAGTGAGGAAACTGAAACCCAAGAGTTAAGTAAGTGAAAATGTTTGAATTCAAACCTAGTTCTCTGATTTTGCACACTGGATTTGCTTTCCATAGTGGCAGAGGGTAGAGGTGAAGAAGAATAATGTGATTCTGGATTATTATTTCCTTCCAGTATATTCAATGAAGGCAACCTGAGTATAGCTCTGATTTGTAAATAAAAACATTGAAGTTTAAAATTCTTACTCCCCAGCTTATCAGCCTTATAGTCTTGGAAAACTTAGGTTCATTCTTCTCATCTACCAAACAAAGCTAAGCATACTTTCTACTGTTACTATAAGGATTAAATGAGATAATTTATGTAAAAATCCTTTGTGAATTATAAATCAAAGAGGAAAGTGAGACATTAGATACTTGAGTGTCCTTAAATTTGTAAGTTGGGGGTATGAATTTACAATCCTAACAAGCTAGTGTTTTCTTGCCCCCAGCTTCAAGGCAGCTCATGCCTGGAGGGAACTGTTAGCACTTCCCTTGCCACTACAATGATCTTGTATGTGCCTGCCTTCCTCACTTCACAGCAAAAATCTGGAGAACAGGCACCATGACTTATTCATGTCTTTCTATCTCCAGTGCCTGGTACACACACCAAAAGGAGACCCTTAATAAATATTTTGAAGAATGAATGAATGAAACAATGAATGCATGAATGAATTGCATTATCTATTTGAAGGTGAGAGTGTGAGGGGAACATCAAGCCCTGGTAACTTGTCCTCAGGTTCTGCTACTAACTAATGGCATGAGCACCGTTAGCCATCAGAGATGGTCCAAGATTCATATGGACCTTTCGCATATGGGAGTATTATATCTCTTTAAGTACTTGAAACTATGAAAATACTAGCTTTTATACTATCAGATGGTATGCCTTAGATTTATGAATTTATGGAAATTAAAGTATTTAATACTTTACATTTCTGTGATTTAAACCTACACATTCTTAAAGATTTAGCCTTGATTTAGCCTATAAAATGGGTGGCCACATGCCCCAAGTTGCCCAAAAAGTCCACGTTTTTAATCTCCTGTCCTAGGGTAATTATTAGTTCTCCTTTCATTCTCAAAAATGTTTTGTCTTAGACAATTAAAGATAAATGGACATGGATATAACTTGCCAGATTTCTCTGCTCCCACTAGACATTGGAGGGAGCAGTATCGTTAAATGATTAGGAGTATATGGGCTTTGAGGTCTAACAGCCTGGATTTTAGTACTGTTCTCTTTATTTACTAGCTGTGTAATCTTGGGTGCATTATTAACCTTTTTAGATGTTATTAATAATTACTATTATTAAAAAGAGGTTAATAACAGTATCTACTTCAGCAGTCATTGTGATGATTAAATGAGATAACACATGAGGAGGAGGAGCAGAAGGCCTAGTGTGCAATAACGACTCAATAGCTGTTGATTATCAGCTATGAATGTAGTTTTTCCCCTCATTTTTGTCCCGTTGAGTTGGAGCACATCCACTAATAAAGGTATTTGGCTGTATCTGGACCTATGCCTGGGAGAAGAGCTCAGGAAATAGGCTATGGTGGCAGACAAAAATGTGGTGGTAAGTGGCTTGTAAATGATAAGGGCTCATGATCTGGCAGATCAAGATAACTTTCCAGAGAATGGAATCATTGTCCCATGTCTGTCTTCCTCCCAATCAGCTATATGCCCCATGAGGAGAGGGACTATATCTGACTTTTTAACCATTACAAATTAGATTCTGAGCACCTAGCCCAACACCTGGCATATATGAAACATTTAATAGATATTAATTGGAAAGGTAAATAAATTAGGATAGAGTCTTCAATTCACATATATTTATGCACATATATGAAGCCACCATTTCTTGTCTTTTACCTCCAAGCCAACCACTGCCCTTTATGATATAAAGACTTAGGCAATCAGTTTTGGCAGCTCAATCCAAGCTTGGCCTTTGGCCCTGTTGTTGGTTGAAGATATTTGATATGGTGGTACAACTCTTGGTTTCTTCTGCTTCTGAGGAAATCGGCCATCTCACTGAATTATCAATTGAGGAGTCCCCACAGCACTGGAGGCTGGCAAAAAGGGATGGCAGGGAAGTACAAAAGACATGGAAGAGCTATTTCTTGTATTCCCAGGGCATACATACTTAACTTATGAATAATCTTTTATGGAGCACCTGCTATGTGTTGAGCACTATATTCTGCATAGGAGACGCAGATATGAAGAAGACAAGGTCCCTGTTGAGAAGTTGAGTTCAAGGGACAGATAAGGAGTGTTCTGGGGCAAGGTGTTAAGTGTAATAATAGAAGCTCACATAAGACATAATAGAAGCATAGAGTGAGGACTGGGGAGATAATTACTTCTGCATGTGAGCATTGTGGAAGGCCTTATGGAGGAGGAGACACTTGAATAAAGTCTAAAGAGCAGATTTGCAAAATGAATAAACAGAAGGGACATACGCATAGGTAAAGAGATAATCATTTGCAGAGGGATGGGATGAACAATGCTAACAGTGTGGGAAGTGATCAAGAACATGCTAGAGGTAAGAATGCTTCAATCATCAGAGGTAGAAGTGAGAAAGGAGAGGGAGACACCGGTGCCTTAATATATCAATTGCTTGACTTAAGGAACGTAGATTTATTTCTCTGTGCTTCACTTTTTTTATCAATAAGATGGGGATAATAAAATACCAACATCATGGGATATTTGTGAGAATTAAATGAAATAAACATCAGTTATATTATGATTACTATGATTATTATTACTATATCTGTTATTACTATAATGATTATTACTATAATTATTATTCTATTATAGCATATTATATACCATACAATTTATACATTTTTAACATATAACATGTATTATATACTATAATAAAATTATTATTATTATAAATTGCTTTTTAGAAGACTCCTGCATTTGAAGAGGTAGTAGAATGCTCACAGATTGACAGAGATAAGGATGATGGTTTCTAAGTATAAGTAATTTACATCAAAAACCTCAGCCAACACAAATGCTCTAGAAGTTAGTGGATTAAATACTTTGTGCTGTGGTCAAAATCCTAAATTTCTTGGGACACCCAATGGCAAAATCATTTAAGTCAGTTAAAGTGATAGAAATGTAGATTTACGCAAATCCCACTTTCAAATAGTTCCCAAGATGCCTTATCTGTATAGACTGGAAATTTAAAACCAGGGTAAATGTATATTAAGATAATGAGAATGGACAATGTTCTTTTTTATCACATTCAGGCAGAGATCATAACCAATGGATCTTCATAGAAGTAAAAATAATCTATTCTTGAACTTATTTATTAAAAATAAAAGCTTAATTCTCATTTCAAAAATGACTACAGATGGTGATTTACCAAAGAGGAGAGGCAAGAGCAGAGCTGAGCCATTGACTTGTCCTGGTCAGCAGGCTGAATAAAAGCCTTGCCTTGGGGCTTTGGAGTAGGGCAGCAATGTCTTAGGAAAGACAGTATGCAAAGGAAGATTGTTTCACTGGAGTTTCCATGAAATCCAGGAACACTGAGATGAATCAAATTGGAGTGTCCTCAGTCTGCATGACTTCCGTGCCATTTGGGCATGGAAGAATAGACAGTCAGCATGCAGAGAAGAGAGGGAGCTTCGTTACCTAACTTAGTAGGCCAACACTGGTGGGCTGTGCCCAGTGACCACCCTATCATTATCCCAAGTATCCTACAGGAATGTGATCCTCCACTCACTCACTTTCAGGTATTTCTCATGTGTGAAGTCTGATTCACACGACCCTGATGTTCAACAACTGCTACTCCCAAGAGTTTGAAATTCTACTCAGACTAGATGAAAAGATTAGGCCCTGCAAGTTTTTGTGACTTTATCTATGTCATTGTATTTTGTTACCTAAGTCATTTGTATTTCAACTCAGCAAGAAAGACTAATAACACAAATACTTTAACATTTTTTTTAGAGATTATTCGGGTTGAACAAACCATTTAGATGATAGGTTCTGATTTTTACTTATGTGAAAAATTGCCTTATCCTCTACCTCATTTTGTTATGTGTAGACATAGCCCTTGTCTCTGCGGAAGGTAGCCATGGCACTATTGTTTTTTTCTGCAAAATTCTGTGAAAAAGCTGTACAAAAGTATTTAGATGGTAATAGACAGTAGAATTGGGGCCAGACTAGAAGAAGAATTGTGGCTGCAGTTTGAAATGCTTTGAACTCTCAAGGCAATGAGCCAGTGGGGTGCAAACAACTTTGATTTTCCTTTTTCCCAGCTCTTCTCTCTGCGTGTTTCCGTCTGTGACTACTTCCCCCAAGTTAAAAAGGAAAGGGCAGTGATATGTGGTAGGGTTCATGGCCACTGCATTTCAGAATTCACTGGAAAGGAGAGCCAACAATCCTGACATGCAGAGCAATAGGCTTTCTGCATGGGCAATGTAGGGTAAGGTTTCAGCCATTATTATATTCATTCATTCATTCATTCATTTGACAAATATTTATTAAGTATCTACTATGTGTCAGGCCCTATACAGCTTTTGGGAATTCAGGGGTACACCAGACAGAAATGAAACAGGGAGGGATGATAGGGAGTGTTGGTACAGAGTTGCAATTTTAATAGGATTATCAGGAAAGACCTCATCGATAAAATAATATTTTTATAAAAATTTGAAGGAGGTAGGAGAGCAAGTCATATGGCTATCTTCAGAAAGAACATTTCAGGCAGGAGGAATGTGAGGGCTGAGGCTCTGACTTAGAAACCTTCCCAGTACGGTTAAGAAACAGCAAGGTCTAGAGCAGGGACAGTTGGGTATTAAGAGTGTCAGAGAGTTTATGACAGGAGGGTCTTGCAGATCAATATAGGGACTTTGGTTTTTTACTAAGAATAAATTAGGAAGTCCTTGGAGGATGTGGGCAAAGGATGCACATGAGCTGCCTTGCATCCTAGCGGGATATCAGTCTGATGGCTGCGTGGAGGCTATGTGAAGAGGGGCAAGGGTAAGAGGCAGGGATACTAGTTAAGAAGCTGCTACAGAGGCAGGGGAAATAGTTAAGAAGCTGCTACAAAGAAACAATGGTGGTTTGGACCAGGCTGTTGGTAATGAAGTCATGAGAAGTGGCTAAATTCTGGATATATTTAAGTGGAAATGATGCTTACAGGGGCTTCTACAGAAACTGATGCAAGTCAGGGGAGGTTAGTGGAGTAAAATTTTGGAATTTTCAGAGAATTTATCATGGTTGGTGTGGGCTTAGCACCTGCCTTGCAATGCTAGTGACCCACACCCATCCTAGAGTGAGGAGGTATTACCTAAGGAAAAATTCAGCCAGTTGGCAAATGTTTGCAAACAAGCCATTGCAGGCAGGGAGTGCTGAAGGCTTCAGTGGCATTCAGATCCACAAATTGACTGGGTGAGAAGCAGGCTGCGAGCTTTAGCAGATGGCAGGAAGTCAGTTCCCAAGATCATACTGGGGTAATCCCATGCATGGTTGACCCTGCATTGGGTGAGAGAAGGCATCTGATTTGAAGAGAAATAGGCAAAAAAGTATGACCTGAGAAAGTAGACCCTTACTCGCTAACCAAAATGACTACTTAAGGAGCTTGGTGAGAAAGACTGAATAAAAAAGAAGAAAGAAAAGAGAGAAAAAAGAGAAAGAAAGAAAGAAAGAAAGAAAGAAAGAAAGAAAGAAAGAAAGAAAGAAAGAAAGCAAGCAAGCAAAAAGCAAGCTATGTTTAATGCTTAGACGTGTGTTTCCCAATATGGTAGCCATTAGCCATTTGTGGCTATTGTGCACTTGAAAAATGGATTGAGATGTATTGAAATTGTAAACTACATATGGATTTCAAAGTATAGTAACACTATAAAATATCACTTTAATAAATTTTATGTTGATTACATGCTGAGATGATAATGTACTGGACAAATATTAAATAAATATATAAACATATATTATTAAAATTATTTTTACTATTTCTTTTTATTTAAAAGATTAACTATCAGAGAATTTAAAATTATACATATGGCTCACATGTACTCACATTACATTTCCATTGGGTAGAACTGTTTTAGAGTGTGCAAAACACTTTCCCAGACATTAAGCCATGTAATACTTCAAGGTAAATGCCAATTTATCTCTGTTTTACTTGAAGAAGTCCAGGTTCCAACAATACCTGCCAAAGAATCCCCAGCCAGTGGTCGAAACTCTTACTCTGTCAGTCATGATAAAAAGACAATGTATCAAGAATGTAATTCACAGATATTCAAAAGCTATAGTAGTTTAATCGCTTCACATTTGGTCAAACACAAACATAAGGTTTTTTGTGGAAACAGGTTTCAGATCAAGACAGTGACCCTGCTCCCAGATGTAACATTTTGTCCTTTAGAGGTCTGTTCCATCTTTACATCTGGTGTCCCTCATTATAGATGTACTTGAAGCACAGAAAAGTCCACAGAAAAAGTCCACCAAAAAGTGTTTACCATGGCCGGAAAAGTGTGTACCATGGCCAGGACTTCAAGGCTTCTCCCTGAAGAAATGGACTTCTTTCTTGATGGTGGCTCTGCTCACAATAAGGCCATCTCTGCATCTTTGGCTACAGGGTTTTCACCCATTGTGACCCCTAGAACCTGGATGGGTTGTGTATAATTCTGCAGGACTCCAAGAGATCCTTGTTCACATGATAGGCTGGTTTTGATTTCCTCAGGGCCTGGTTACCGAGTGGAAACGAAGAAACTAAAATTTATTGAATTCGTATGCTGAGATAAGAGATGGGTGGTGGTAGCAGGCTGCCTGGATATGGATCAGAAAACTCATCGCCATCAACCAGCAGGGTGAGAAGAACAGACAGGGGCCTTGGCATCATGCAGTCTCTGGACACTGGCAGCCCCCAGTGCCTCTGCAGATCCCTGGGTAAACTTAACACTACATGTCTTATATCTATAAACAGACCCTGCTATCAGAACTCACAAAGACTATTTTGGACATTGCAATATCTAAAAACAATGAAGATACAAACACTGAGGGCACTTAGAAGTAACTTCAGACTTAAGTTATTTATTTACGGTTATATCCAGTGCTAAGAATATGCAGTTGATTCTTTATTGACCTTTATACACATTTTAATTCATTACCAGAAAGCATTATATTCAAACAGTTGGAATATTGACAGATATATATAGATAGATAGATAGATATCTGAGATCAGAGTCAATAAGTGTTGGTAAAATGGGTTTTCATCTATGAGCTGTCATTTGAGAGGCTCAAGAAAAATATCTTCTGAATGTTTTGTTTATATCAATTTCATGGTGACTTGGACTCTACCATTCTTTCATATTCTGTTTTTTGGTCCTTTTCAAAAAACACTTTTGAGAAAGCCTACAGACTGAATTAATTCAGTGTAAGTTAATAGCAACTTGGATATGAAAAAGGTAGCTTTTTTAAAAAGGTAAACTAAGACCCCAAAGCCAGAAACTCCAGCTTGAAAATAATCCAAGATCCATAGGTGATCCTAAAAAAAAAAAATTGCCAATAAAATTATCTATGACCTCAGTCCAGGAAGAAGAAAGGGAGGTATCCACATCACCATCAAGACTCCATAGGACCCTCTCCTGTGAGCTCATATGGTTGCAAAAACAATTGAAGAATACACGATCTATGAGTAGAGAAGACCAACATCCAGAGCACTGCAAAATCTGCACATATTTCTTTAAAAGCTATACAAATGTAAAAGATAGAGGGAAGAAATGAATTCACTGCTTGTTATTAATGCTAACAGCTGACAGAGAAACCTGAATTCTTCTTTCACTTATTTTCTATATTATATACCAAAAAGTATGTTTTTTGTATTGGAAATACTAAGCCAATTACCATGAACAGGCAATTGATGAGGACCCCTAGGTCAGAAGACAATGAGTTCCCAAGTCATCATTTCTATATTTCCCAACTCCCATTAAAACCATATACATGATCCAGAAATAAAGGTGAGGAGACCTTTATTGAAAACTAGAAAATACTTACTGAAAACTAGAGAAGAATGTCATCACCATAACAGTAACATTAAGATGTTTCTGCCAGAAATAGAGTATGAGAGACCATTGGAAGGAGACGTTGTCAACTCCTGATTTCTCATCTTGGAGAAATAAGCAGCACCTTTGGATGTAAGTTCAGAAGGTCTTGGTGCAATTCCCTAACTCAGAGTTACTATGCTGGAAATGGCACTCTCCCTCCAGGGCAGTGAGTGTAACTGGAAAAAACTGGTATTCCTGGGCTGCCTTCAGAATTTATGCCCAATGAAAGTGGTGGCAGGAAATGACTATGGCATGGCAGGAGTTGTATCCTGGTTATGGTGGCAGCACATGGAAGAAATCTAGGCAATGCCACTGCCTGCGTCTGCCCCCAGGAAGGATCAAAACAAAGGCCAGTCCCATTAGCACTAACCTCCTAGAGATGGTTGTTTTGTTGAAAGCAGAAAACAAATGATGCCAAGACAGTTCACCACCAGGAGACAGCTCTGGCATTTTCCATGTCACTTCTGGGAAGAGACTAAAAGACTTTGAAAGCCCATTACTGGTTCTAAAAAAACTGAGAAAAGCCCATATTGTAACTAGGAATGAGTAACTTCTTAATACAACAAAGATTTATCTGAAAAAATTACAATAATCCTTCCCACTGGTAAAATGTTACTTTCAGATCTATTAATGTCAGGAACAAGATAAGATGCCCACCATGAGAGCTGTTATCAACATATTTTCTGGAAATTACCATCAGTGTGGTTCAAGAATGTGAAGGTGTAAAAATATTAGAAAGGAAGATGCAAACTTGTTGTTTGCAGATGACATGATAGAAAACCTCATGACATTAACTAAAAAAAATAGAGACAATATTAAGAAAGGTGATCAAAATGCCTTAGTTAGATGCCTATATATAACAGTTAATTTTTTCTGAAATAAGACTGTTCACAAAAACTACAAAATATAAGATAACTGAATAGTAACTAAACAACTAAAAATAGGATCAAGTTTACTGAGGGACAGATAAGGAGGCATCACTATATAAAGGGCATGATGAGCGCTAGGTGCTCAATAATGGCACCCAAATGAAAATAAGCAAAGAACATGGAATACAATTCCTAAAATAAGAAATGCAGATAGTTAAAAACATCCAAACAGATGTTCAGTCTCACATTAAAAATGCCAATGTGTAACGTGATATTATTTTACTTGTCAGATTATCAGAGATTTAAAATATTGCTAACACCAACTGCTGAAGATGATGTGGAGAATTCAGCACTGTCATACAGAGCCGGGAGGAGCATCGTTTGATGGCACGACCTTTCTGGAGGAAAAATAGCAAAATCTACAAAGGTCATCAGCCGAGAAATGCCACTTCTGGAAGTTTATCAGAAAACATCACTAAGTTTCATGCATAAGAATACTAATTGTTGAGTTTCCTGTACTTTGAAAAATTTAGAAATAACCTAAATAGGTTAATGGTATGGGATTAAAATGCAGTACTCTCTAATACTAGGCATAAAATGCAACATTCACGCAAAATACCTAGTAAATTATTCACATGCTATTACCCAAATACAAAAATGGGCTACAACATGGTGGTCTATAACATAATCAAATTTTTACATAAAAGAGTATATTGCTTGCATAGAAAATGCTTGGAATGAAAATAAAACTGTGTGTGTATATATGCACACATGCACATATATACGTATATGAGAGCAAGAGACGGAGAGAGATTGATCATCACTCTTAACCCATGGCAATTTAGCTCTTCAATCAGTGGACATTAGGCAGTATCTGAGGACATATTTTGTTTGTCACAACTGAACAGGGTGGTAATAATAGCATCTAACAGGTAGGGGCAGGGATGCTGTTAAATATCCTACAATGCACAGGACAGCTCCACACAACAAGTAATTATCTGTACCAAAATATTAATAATGCTGAAGTTAAGAAACCTTGATACATGTGAATATATATCTATATTTATAGTACTTATGAGAACATTCTATGTTTGACTTGTCTTTGCTCCTTTATATTTTTCTGTGGTTTAAGTGTTTTTGAAAATAGCACTAGATTATTTTCAGAATCAGAAAAGTTAATAAAATGATATCTAATTAGGGGAGGTGGCCCTTAAAGAGTCACATTCTTCTTGCCTCTTAATTCTTGACTAACCTTTCTCCTCCTTTTTTTGAATGGCTATAATACTTCTAGTTGGTATCACATCACTTAAGATAATTGTAATTCATTTGGTTTTATTATGGTATACTTTTCTGTGTATTCATCTCAACTCTCCAGCTAAATTCAGGAACCACAAACAATTTGAGGGGAGGATTCATGCTTTCCAGTTGCCCATCCTAGAGCCCAATATATGGGAAATTCTTGGTACTTACCAAGGAAAGCATGGAATAAAGGAAGGAAAAAGCAAAGAGAGAAAAGAAGGGAGGGGGGAAGAAAGAAGAAAAGGCTACTGACTTTATAAATCTTTATACTTTGCCCTGCCCTTTCCTGCCCTGCACCTGGCTCAGGGCAGCCCACAGAACAGGCACCGTTACATGGGGGTAGAGGGAGTAATGTGGTATAGCAGAAATGGCACTGGCTTTGGGGTTAGAGAAGTGGATTTAAAGTTTGCTCTTGCAACTCACTATTTTATTTTTATTTATTTTTAATTTAGCAAATACAGTGCTTCCTACTTGCCAAGCACTGTTCTAAACCTTGCAAATATTTCTTGTGTTATACTGGACAAATGCATGAAGTTTCCAGAGACCTGACTCTTCATCTTTAAAATGGGAACAATAGTACCTTGCATGGTTGTTGTAAAGTTTAGAGGTGATAATGTATATAAAGTGCTAGGGATGGTGCGTAATGCATGGTAGGCGATCAATACATGGAGTGATTTTCATCATTATCATTGTCATTGTTTCCATAACTCTGATCACTCAATAAAGTCTTTCAGATGATAAGTTAGTCAGCCTAATCAACTGTAAGATTTAAAATATATCTTGAAACTATTTCTACAAATGAATTAGTAGCTTGTTAGAGGGTAGGACTGCTGTTTACACACTCTCGAAGGAAGAAATATCATCTTCTTTTTTGGAAGATCATCCTGGCTGACTGACTGCAGAACCTGAGGCATATTATACAGAGAAGGTGGGGAAAAGGGAGGCAACACCCAGCCATATCATCTGAATTGACCTCAGGAGCAGTGGGTGGCCTTCCTGTGCGTCTGTCAGTCATCAGTGTTCTCAGCAATCTGTCTCAACCACTCTATCTTTGATCTTTGGTAAGCACTGTGACTGCATGCTATATTCCTGGAAACTGTGCTTGAAGGCCAAAACTGAGTAGTGGACTAGAGGGTAGAAACACGGAGAGAGAGAAACTGCTGAAGCAAGGCCCAGGAGAGTGCTTAGCACTACAGGAAAAGAGATAATGAACAGATATGGGAGGAATGACTATTGATTTTTCAAACCTTGCACATGATCCCAGCCTGTTATGCTACATGGAAAGAAGTAACATCAGGGCTCGTTGACCCTGGGACTTGCCCAGAGCTGAGTCAGGTCAAAGGAAAGATAAAAAGATGGGAAGCTTGAATAGAAGAAACCCAAATGGATGGGGTGGGGTTTCCTTGGATTTACTTCATTGGTGTATTCAATTCACCTCCCAAAGTTTTCCCAATCAATAAGTCAGGCAACCAAAGTATTTCTTTAGCAACTCTTCTTTTTTTTTTTTTATTATACTTTAAGTTCTAGGGTACATGTGCATAACGTGCAGGTTTGTTACATATGTATACTTGTGCCATGTTGGTGTGCTGCACCCATCAACTCGTCATTTACATCAGGTATAACTCCCAATGCAATCCCTCCCCCCTCTCTCCTCCCCCCTCCCCATGATAGGCCCCGGTGTGTGATGTTCCCCTTCCCGAGCAACTCTTCTTACATGTCAAACTCATCTGAGGTGATTATTCCTCTGCCTTGTGATAACTTCACTAAAAACTAAAAGTCCATCTTCCCCCTTTGTTATGATCTCTCTCTCTCACACGTTTAAACACTAATTTAAGGTGTGTTTTTCTCTGTTCACACCTTCCCAGATAACATTAGAGGGCATTCTAGCCCAGTCTTCACTGTCCTCTATACTCCAGAAAGCTGAGTATGTCTTTTAATCCTGTAATCCAGCCTTCGGCACTAAGTGGCCTTCTAGCTTATCCTGGTTCAAGTGGTTCCTTGCCCATATTGTGGGGACATCTGTTACCAACTAGTTCTCCTTGACCTGATCAGTTCTCTGTCTTCCATATGTGTGTAGACCTTTTCCTGCCTGCCTTTCATCCCTAGGACCCATGCAAATTTCCAGGATACATCAAGGATGCCAACTAGCTAGAATCCTGAACACTTTTCCTATCCCTCTCCCATGGAAAAAATGCCTATCCCAAAGATTTGCATTATTCACTTCCAGAAATATGTTGGCACCTGACATTTTATAATTGCTGCCCCCAGATGCAGACAATGTAGCTGCACTGTCTCCAAGTCAACCTCTTTACTGAGCCCTTTAAATAGTATGTCTCATCTGATTAGCAAAACAATTCAGTAACTACTACTACTACTACTACTACTACTACTACTACTACTACTGTCTTCAATTTACAGAGGCAAGAGGGGAGATGAAGTGAAGTAAAATAGCTTCTCTGCGGTCATATAGCTATAAGTAGTGAAGTAGAGATACTAAGCCAAGTTGGTCTGCTTTCAGAGACCATATTCTAAAAATTCCATATGAGATGGCTTGACTGAGGCTTTATCTTTAATCATCATTCTAATGAAAGGAAAACGACACTTGCATTGTGGTTTTCAAAAAAGATTTTATTGAACTATTTCATTTGATCCTTACAATAGCCCTTTGAATTGGAAGAAGAATCTCAGGCTGAAACTGAAGACAAGTCTCACTGTCCCAGGTTCGTTCCTCCAGGGAGCTGACTCTAAGGGAGAGGATAGTGTGCAGGTCATTCATTAGGAAGTGGGTTGTGGTTCAGCACTCATGGAGGGGAGAGGAAGGAAGCAGGATTTGGCAAACGCAAAAGTCAAGCTTGGTGCAGGCTCAATGGTAGCCTCCATCAAGTCCAGGAGCTCTGTAGGTAGAATGACCCTGAATACAGGTCAGGAGGCTGAGCCTCATTACCTCACAATGATGGGTTATTGGATGTGAACTGATCCTGGAAGGCTGTGTGACCTTGTGTCTGTCAGTTTTCTGCTGCTGCTGCTGCTGAAATCTCTATAGAGGCTGGCAGCTAAAGAAACTCTGAGTAGGTTGTTGCATTGTCCCCCACACTTACCAACTAGTCAATGGTGTACCCAGAATAAAAATCTGTTCCACAGATACCCATACAAACACTTGCCCGTGTACTACACAACCTCTCTGGAAAGACTTTCTCTGTACTGACAGTTCTCAGCTGATTCTGAAGCAAAGTCAGAATCCAATCATTTGTGCTGATCAGGCTGCTACTTCCAGCTGCCTACATGGGCACCGAAAGTAGATGGTGGTGGGTGTCCTAGTGGGAGTAATGGTTACAGAATATTAAAACAGGTGAAAGTGGAATCAGTGCCACAGTATTGCATCTATTACAAGAGAAAACTAAAATTTCCTGAATTAGAAATAATTGTGAGGCTTTGGTGAATTATTTGATGTCCTTGAAAATTTATATAGGAAGAGACGGATTCTGAATTTTTGAGGAATACATATAAAACCTGATGCACAAATGTGATCAGTCTTGGCTTTTCACTTGTTAAAAATTATGAATTTACTATCTTTTTCTGATCAATTGTCTTGTAAGCTTTTGCTTTTTCAACCCCAAACGGCATTCCAATCCAAAAGCCACAATCTGGGAATGTGTTTATTTTCATTTACCTTCATATAGTATAGTTTGTCAGATTTTCCCTTTGATGGTTTTAACAGAATCATCTGTAGTTGAGTTAAAGCCCCATATCTCTTTGAATTTCCAAGATTCTTTAAATTATCTGAATTATTTTCACTGATTTCTAAATACTTTTTTCTCAGTAGAAATCAACAAAAAACCAATCAAGAAAGACTCGTCTCTGAATATTTTTCCTCGGGGAATTGGAAAGTTACAGTCATTTGGGTAGGGTTATGGTGGCAGGTTGCTGCTGATAGTGATGGCAGTAATATTGTTCTTGTTGGTGGGATAATGTTGTTGGATGATGCTGTTGAGGGGTGATGTTGCTGTTGGGTAGGAGTGATGTTAGTGCGTGGAGTGATGCTATTGATAATGGTGTTGGTGGTGATGGAGTTATGTTGTCAGTAGGGGTGATGTTACTGATAGTAGCGGCAGTGAAGAAGTGATGTTGGTGGGGGTAGTGGCAGCAGATAATACTGTTTTTGATGCTAGTGATAATGATGATGGTGAGTTATCATATTGAGAAAGTCACACTTCAAACCATCTATCAAGAAGGAACTTAATATGAGTTATATGTGTATGTTTCTTGTTCAACTCCTCAAATATTTGAGGCAGAATGGGGTGAATAGTATTAGATAAAATCCTTTTCTGAGACACATGATTTCAAGATGGCCAGCTAGAGGCATCTGGTAGGCACTTGTTCTACAAATAAGAATTGAATTAGCAGGTAGGTAATCACATTTCCAATAGATCACCTAAGAGAATGTTGGAATTCAACCGAGAAGTGATAGCAAACACCTAAAGCACTAAAGGAGAAGGAAGTGAGACAGCCTACTTGACAGGGCTTGGCTGGGGGCCTGAAAAGGCTCCCTAATATGGGAAAAGCAGGTGAGTGACCCTCAATTGTCCATGTTCCCACCACACACTACTGCGTCTTAGCCACAGGAAAGCCCCTTGACCTCAGCAGGCCTCATGACTAACATAGGGAGCTGCCTGGAGACAATGTGAAGACATTGCTCCGGAGATGGAACTTATGCTGGGTCCCAGACACTATCTGAGCCCTAAGCAGGCACAGCAAGAGGCTATATTGAGATCTCCACTCCCACCAGACTGCATATTCCCTGAGGCTACAACACCACCTGCATCTCCACATCTCTGGAGCCCCATTGACATTCCTTGTCTGTAGCCACCACCACAGTTGGCTGCTACCTTCAGAGCTGAAGCATGAACCATTAGTAAAGATTTCACTGCCTTCAGCAGTGAAGCCACTGCACGTTTTCATGTGTACCAAGGACGAACTCACCCACCCACAGCAGCCACCACTGTGGGCTACTGCAGCGAGGGCCAAAGCTCAAGTGAAGTACACATTCCCCGAAATGTCTGGCATAAGTCTGTTGCCACTGAAAGGAGCCCCACCCTCCCCAGTAGCAGAGCTGAAGCTCAGCTGCTGCTGCCACTACCTAAGCATTTAGCCTTGGGCCTAAGGCTCACCTTTCCCCTGCCTACCATGGTAAGTGCCTGCATGTGCCCCTGGGGGCTTCAGGACAGGTCTAACTGGGCTGGCTTTGCCCTTCTCTCCCCATTCTCCAGTGCTTGAGTGGGGACTGGGTGCTTGGGGACTGTCCAGCTCAGTCCACCACTGTTAGCACCTGAGCACTCCCTTCAGGGACCTGAGGTTAGGCTCATCCAACCTGCCGCTACCACCACAGCGGGCTCCCATCTGTAGGCACAACCTATGGGCCTCGGGATTGGCCTGCTTAACCCATCAAAACCACTTCTAACACCAGCATTTGGAATCCAGAGGTTAGTCCCTCCACTGCTACTGCCATCACCCATGACACACCCACTTCCCAGAAGCTTAAGAACCCACCCACCTACCCAGTCCACTATTGTTACTACTGGCACCTAAGCCAGCTGCCTGGAGCCCAAAAATTCTACCTCCTTGGACTCACTAACACCAATGCCAACGTATGAAACCTGCTTCCCAAGAACAGGCATGCTCAGCCCACTGCTGTCACTACTGGGGCCCAAGGACTCACCTGGCATCCCTGTCTCCAGCAAAACTTCACCACTGCCTCCATTAACAAACACACTCCAAGCCACTGAAAAAAACAAAACAAAACAAACAAGCAAACAAAAAACCACAGATACCACTGACATACAGCCAAAGAAATCATACGAAGACTACATTACTGCACACACCCAGAATCAAAGTCAAAGTACCCCACTGATATGGCTTGGCTTTATCCCCATCCAAATCTCATCTTGAATTGTAGTTTCCATAATCCCCACGTGTGGTGGGAGGAACACTGTGGGAGGTAATTGAATCACGGGGGCAGTTTCCTCCATGCTATTTTCATGATAGTGAGTGAGCTCTGATGAGATCTGATGGTTTTATAAGGGGCTTCCCCCTTCACTCACCTCTCACTCTTCTCCTTCCTGCTGCCATGTGAAGAAGAATGTGTTTGCTTCCCCTTCTGCCATGATTGTACATCTCCTGAGGTCTGCCCAGCCCTGTGGAACTGTGAGTCAATTAAACCTCTTTCCTTTATGAATTACCCAGTCTCAAGTATGTCTTTATTAGTAGCATTAGAATGAACTAATGCACTGACCCAACCAACACTATAAATATCATAGATACCTCTTCAGGAAAGCATTCTTGCCCATGAAGACAAATTTTAAAAATTCAAAGAAGTGACTGTTAAACCTGAGTGCCAACATCAGTGTAAGGACACAAAAAACTTGAAAAATAAAGGAAACATGACACTTCCATAGGAATACAATAGTTCTCCATCAACAGATTCCAAATAAGAAGAAATATATGGAGTCCCAAGTAAAAAATTTAAAATATTGATATTAAAGAAGTTCAGTTAGATACTAGAGAATACAGGAAAAACAATACCAAGAAATTAGAAAAATAATTAAGGATAAGAATGATAAATTTATCAAAGAGCTAGATATCATAAAAAGGAACCAAGAGTCATTCTGGAAATGAATAACTCATTAAATGAAATACAAAATACATGTAAAATCTTCAACAATAGTGTAGATCAAGCAAAAGAAAGAATTTCAGAACTTAAAGACAGGTATTTGGAAATAGCTCAGTCAGACAAAAATAAAGAAAAAAGAATTAAGAAAGATGAACAAAGCCTATATGACACCTGAGACACCAGAAAGTGATCAAATAATCAAAATTTTGCCATCCCAGAAGGTGAAGAGAAAAACATTAGAAAACTTATTTAAGAAAAGAGTAGCTGAAGACTTCCCAAGTATAGAAATACATTTAGACATCCAGATACAGGAAATTCAGAGAACCTCAAATAGATACAATGCAAAAAAGGTCTTCTCCATGGCACATGATAGACTGTCAAAAGCCAAAGATAAGAAGGAAATTCTAAAAACATCAAGAAAAGCATCTAGTTACTTGTGAGGACACCCCTATCATGCTAACAGAGTATTTCTCAGCAGAAACCTTACAGGTCATGAGAGAATGGGATGACATATTCCAAAAGCTAAAAAACAAAACAAAACAAACAAATTAAAAAAACACTGCTAGCCAAGAGTGCTATATGCAGCAAAATTATCCTTCATTAATTAAGGAGAAATAAAGTGTTTCCCAGACTAGCAAAAACTTAATGGACAATACATATCATCATGAAAACACAAAATTGTACAACCTACTAGTAGATCAAACACACAATGAAGAAAGAGAAAGGCTGGGCAGCTTGGCTCATGCCTGTAATCCCAGCACTGTTGAAGGTAGAGGCAGGTGGATCACTTGAGCTCAGGAGTTTGAGAACAGCCTGGGCAACATGGCAAAATCCTGTCTCTACTAAAAAGACAAAGAAAATTAGCTGGGCATGGTGGCAGGTGTCTGTAGCCCCAGCTATTCAGGAAGCTGAAGTGGGAGGGTTGCTTCAGCCCCAAAGCAGAGGTTGCAGTGAGCCGAAATTGATCCACTCCACTCAAATCTAGGCAACAGAGTGAGACCCTATCTCAAAAAAAGAAAAAAAGAAAAAAGAAAAAGAAAGGACTCAAATGTTACTATCATAGATGTTACCACATAACACAATGATTAACAGTGAGACAAAGAAGGAACAAAGAAGATACAAAACAACCATCAATCAGTTAACAGACTGACAAGAATAAATTCTGACATATCAATAACAATTTTGAATGTAAACAAATTAAACTTTCCACTTAAAAGACATGCTGGCAGAATGGATTAAAAAATAAATAAATAAAAACATGACCCAACTATATGTTGCTGAAAAGAATCTCATCTCACTTGTAAAGAAATATAAACTGAAAATGAAGGCATGGAAAAATACATTTCATGCAAATGCAAACCAAAAGCAAGCAGCAATAACTATACTTATATCAGATAAAATAGACTTTAAGTAAAAAAAAAAAAAAACCACACACACACACACTCAGTAAAAAGAGATAAAGAAAGTCATTATATAATGATAAAGGAGGTAATTCACTAAGACAATATAACAATAAATGTATCCAACATCTGAGCACCCAGATATATAAGGCAGATATTATTAGGTCTAAAGGTAGACATAGACTCTAATAGACTCTAACACAATGCTAGTTGGGGACTCTAACACTTCATTCTCAGCATTATACAGATTGTCTAGAGAGAAAATTAATAAAGAAACATGAATTTAAACTGCATATTAGACTAAATGAACCTAACCGACATTCATAGAACTTTTCATCCATCAGTTACAGAATACATATTCTTCTCATAAGCACATAGAACATTCTCCAAGATAGATGATACATTAGATTACAAAATGAAACTCAGCAAATTTTTAAAATTCCAAATTCTATCGAGCATTTTCTCATACAACAATGGGATAAAACTTGAAATCATAACCAGAGGAACTTGAGAAACTACACAAATACATGGAAATTAAACAATATGCTCATGAATGGCCCTGACATCAAGGAAGACATTAAGCAGAAAATTTTTAAAAAATTCTTGAAACAAATGAAAATTGAAACATAGCACACTAAAACCTATGCAGAAAAATCCATGCTAAGAGGGAAGTTTACAAATGTCTGCATCAAAAACCCAGAAAGATTTCAAATAAACAATCAAATGCTGCTTTTTCAGAGGGAAAAAGCAAGAACAAACCAAATGTAAAACTAGTAGAAAAAAAAAGAATAAAGATTGGAGCAGAACCAAATAAAATAGAGACTAAAAAAATACAAAGAATCAACACAAGAAAAGTTGGTTATTTGAAAAGATGAACACTGAAACCACTAACTAGACTAATCATGAAATAAAGAACACCCAAATAAACACAATCAGAAATGAAAAAGGAGACATTTCAACAGACAGCATAGAAATATAAAAGATTATCAGAGATGATTCTAAAAAACCATGTGCTAACAAATTGGAAAACTTGAAGACAATGGAAAAATTCCTCAACATATACAATCCACCAAGAAAGAATCACGAGAAATAGAAAACTTGAACAGACTAATGATGAGTACTGAGGATGAATCAGTAATAAAATGTCTTTCAACAAAGAAAACTCCAGGACTAAAATGACTTCACTCACAAATTCTACCAAACTCTTAAAGGAGAACTAATACCAATTATCCTCAAACTATTCCAAAAAAAATGAAGAGGTGGAGATTTTCCCTAAGTCATTCTATGAGGCCAACATTACCCTATTACTCAAATCAGGACACAAGGACCCTACAAAACAGGAAAACTATAAGTCGGTATTTCTGATAAACATAGAGGTTAAAATGCTCAACAAAATACTAGCAAACTGAATCTAACAGTACATCAAACAAATAATAGACCATAATCAAGGGGGATTTATCTTAAAAATGCAAGGATGGTTCAACATATGCAAATAAATAAATGTAATACCTGATATCAATAGCATGAGAGACAAAGAACATAGGGCCATTGCAATGGACACAGTAAAACCATTTGATAAAATTCAACATCTCTTCATGATAAAAATTCTCAACAAACTAGAGGTTGGTGGAACATACTTTAGCATAATAAGGGCCATATATGACAAACCCACAGCTAACATCATACTAAATATGGAAATACTGAAAGTCTTTTGTCTAAGAACTGAAACAAGACAAGAGACTCACTCTTATTTGACATGGTATTGGAAGTCCTGACCAGAGCAATCAGTCAAGAGAAAAAAGAGCACCCAAATTGGGAAAGAGGAAGTCAAATTATTCCTCTTTGCAGTTAACATAATCTTCTATCTAGAAAAACCTACAGACTTCACCAAAAAAACCTCTTAGGTCTGATAATAAATTCAGCAAAGTTGCAGGATATAAAATCAATATACAAAACCAGTAGCATTTCTATGCATTAATAATGAATTAGCTGAGAAAGAAATAAAGAAAGCTATATAAAATATAACATACCTGGGAATTAATTTAAGCAAGGGTATAAAAGGCCTCCATAGAAAAAAAACTACAAAACACTGATGAAGTTGAAGGAGACACAAACAAATCAAAAGACATTCTATGCTCATGGATTGGGATAATTAATGCCTTCCATATTAATTGAAAGTGATCACACTGCCCATGGCAATCTATAGATTCAATGCAATTCCTATCAAAATACAAATGCAATTTTTACAGAAATAGAAAAACAGTCCTAAAATTTATAATGAACGATAAAATAACCTAAATGGTCAAAGTAATTCTGAGCAAAATAAAAAAGCTGGAAGCATCAGATTACCTGACTTCAATATATTACAAGCTATAGTAACCAAAACAGCATGATATTTGTATAAAAACAGACACATCAAACAATGAAACAGAGTACACAACCCAGAAACAAATCCACATGTTTATAGCCAACCAATTTTTGACAAAGGTGTCAGCCTCATACATTGGGGAAAGGACACCCTCTTCAATAAGTTGTTGGGGGAAAATTGAATTGCCATAAGCAAAAGAATAAAACTGAACCCCTGTCTCTCACCAATTAGAAAAAATAAATGCAAGATAGATTAAAGACTTAATTGTAAGACCCAAAACTACAAAGCTACTAAAAGAAAACATGGGGAAAACACGCCAGGACATTGGTCTAGGCAAAGATTAGGGCCTCAAGAGCACAGGCAACAAAAGCAAAAATAGATAAATGGAGTTATATTAAACTAAAAAGTTTCTGCAGAGCAAAGGAAACAATCAAGAGAGTTAAGAAACAGCCTGTTGAATGGAATAAAATATTTGCAAACTATTGATTCAAGGAACTAATATTCAAAATATATAAGGAATTCAAACAACTCAACAGTAAAAAAAACAAATAATACCATTTAAAGTGGGCAAAGGACATGAATAGATTTTTCTCCAAAGAAGACATACAAATGGCCAACACATATATGAAAAGATGCTCAATAACCAGGGAAATGCAGATCAAAACCACAATGAGATGTCATCCCATTCCTACTTAGAATGGCTATTTAAAAAAAAAACAAATGCTGGCAAGGATGTCAGGAAAAGGGAACTCAGAGTGTTGATGGGAATGTAAATCATACAGCCACTGCGGGAACACTAAAGAGACTTCTCAAAAAATCTAAAAGTGGAACTACCATATAAACCTTCAATCTCACTACTGGACATTTATCCAAGGAAGAGAAATTCACATATCAAAGGGATACTGGCATTCCCATGTTTATCACAGCACTATTCACAATAGCAAAGACATGGAATCAACCTAAGTATACATCTACAGATAAATGGATAAAGAAAATGTGGTATATATACAGAATGGAATAATAGTCATCCATAAAACATATAGAAATCATGTCATTTGCAGTAACATGGATGGAACTGGAAGGCATTGTGTTAATTGAAATAAGCCACGCAGAGAAAGACAAATACTGCATGTTCTCACTCAGATGTGGAGTTAAATAGTTGATCTCTTGGACGTAGAGAGTAGAATGATAGACACGAGAGGCTGGGCAGGGTGTTTGGGGGTGGGGCCATAAAGGAGGCTGGTTAATGGGTACAAACATAAAGTTAGATTGAAGGAATTAGTTTTCATGTTTGATAGCAGAGTACGGAAACTATAGTTAATGACAATGTATTGTATATTTCAAAATAGCTAGAAAGGAAGACTTGAAATGATCCCAACACATAAAAATAATAAATAATTGAAGTGATGGACATCCCCAAAACCCTGACTTGACCATTATGCAGTCAGTGCATGTAACAAAACGTCACATATGTAACCTATAAATATGTACAGATATTTGTATCAACTAAAAAAATCCCTTTCTGAGATGCTCACTAGAAATTCTTTCTCAGGAAACTACATCACATGATTGGGCTCTGTATCCCCACCCAAATCTCATGTTGAATTCTAATCCCCACATGTCAGGGGAGGAGACTGGTGGGAGATGATTGGATCAAGAAGGCGAATTTCCTCATTGCTGTTCTTGTGGTAGTGAGTGAGTTCTCACAAGATCTGGTTGCTTGAAAGTGTGTATCACTTCTCCCTTTGCTCACTTGCTCTCTCCTGCTGCCAGGTGAAGACATGCTTGCTTCCCCTTAGCCTTCTGCCGTGATTGTAAGTTTCTTGAGGCCTCCTAGCCATGTTTCTTCTATAGCCTGAGGAACTTCAAGTCAATTAAACCTCTTTCCTTCAAAAATGACCCAGTCTTAGGTAGTTCTTTATAGCAGTGTGAGAATGCACTAATACACTATATAATCCCTGGTAGAAAACAAGTCAGAAAACAAAATTTCTGCACTTTCTGAGAAATCAATGTCATCATCCTTTTTCTCACTTCAGTTTCACTTTCAGTTGATGTCCTGGCACACCCCTGGAGCCAATCAGACCGCCTCTTTCCTTTGACCCTTCCAAGCCACTTCACGCTCCACTTTGCCTTGGTCACCCTCTGAGAGCCTCTCTCTTGCATCCACCCATCCCCTGCAATCCTTTCACACTTTTATTCTTCAAGATTCATCTCAAAATCAAACTCCTCTACAAGGCTAACCCTCTACCTTGGTAGAATTCTTATCTCCCTTACCATCAATATCACGCAGTTTAGCACCATCATGTATCTGCATTGTTCTTGATGGTGTCATGTAAGTTTATCTGGTAGATTTTCAACTTTACAAGAACAGTGCCCTTGTCTTGTATTTTCTTTTTATTCCCCACAGATTCCAGCACAAAGTAGATGCTTAATTGAATACCATACTTTACTACCAAACAAACAGAAATAATACCAAAGTAGAACTGAGACCTTCTAGCCCAAGCTCTGCCCTTTATCCATTGCATGACCTGAAATGTTCACTTCTCTAGCTCTCATTTTCTTTATCAATAAAGTGCATTATTAAACCAGATAATAATAATTATTATTATTGTTATTGGATATTATTTTCCAGACATGCAGATGTCATATAAATTTACTTCATTTTAAAACAATGTTATTCAGTAAATTGAAAGTCTGACTTTTGATTTCACCATTCATATTATTCCAGGTTAAAAAGTAACTTCAGAGTTCTTGTTCTGGATGTTCCAGATGGAAGCTTGAGCACAAACAGAATCATCCCTATTCTTCTGCTTCTCTCACAGACATGATAAAAGACAGTATTTCAAGATACTGATTTATGTGTGGCTGGCTCAAAAAGAAAAGCAAAAAGGGGACCAAAAGCAAAAGCAAAAAGACCAAAAAAGTTATGGTGTATGCATCTCTTTAAAACAAAAAGAAAGAAAGAAGCAGCAGCAATACACAGAAAACTCACAAATGAATATGGGCTGACTTTGAGGTCCAGAGAATGCTGAAGATGGCATTAGGTGGTACTGGAGGGCTTAGGGGCTGAGTCCGTGCGGCTTCTGCAGTAGTCATTACTTAAAGAGAAAATATAGACAATGCATATGCAGTGTTTGCAGGTTAAAATAAAATGTAAACATGGGGTTAAAAAAAGGAGAAAAGGCAAATATGCCCAAAATATTTTCTAGTGATGGTACTGTGAAAAATAGCTATTTTCTTCTTTGTCCATTTCTGTACTTTTTAAGTTAAAATACAGACAAATCACTATCACCCCATCTCCTCATCTCATTGCTCTGTAGGTCTCTCCTTATGCCCTGAAATAATCTCCAAAGTACAAACAATCTGAGCTCTAAGCCCAACCTCTAGGTGGCTAAACTACTAAAAACCAGGGCCTCAGGAATAAAATCTGAAACAGAAACGGTGGCCTCTTCCTGGTTGTCACTGGAATTGTCCTTGGCAAGATTCGGGTGTCATCTTTATGGCTCCTTGGTCTCTTCCTCCATGGAATTCTTACACAACAATACACACATTTTATAATTAAAAACTAAAAACACACTGGCTTCTGTTTTTGAGTCCTTTCATTGTTTTGATACCTTGTGGCAGGGCAGAGATGAATGGAAGACAGGCTGATCTACTCTAGTCTAAATATTCAGACCCAGGAAGGGAGTCCTCCTCAGCAGAATGCCAACCCATGTCTCTTAATTGCCTCGGCTCCTGATAGATTGGCTCTTACCGTCTTTGAATTCCTTTGTTGTGGAGGAGTTAAAATTCATGAGCGTCCCATGCCTGGGAATACTTACTCCAGTGCTGCTATTTTCCTGAGCCAAGCTGGCCAACACCGCAAAAGAGTCGGAGGTCTGTTGGGCCATCTGTTACATAATAGTCAACAATCTCGAAAATCTAGGGAAACAGGGAGGGGGAGAGCAAAGATGATGAAGCATTTAAACAGAACAGATTGCTGCCTTACTTACAAGAGAAAAAGGGAGAGATGATATACTTTGATTGAGGCAGAGACAAGCTTTATTAGCATAGGGAACAAAACAAACTTTAAAAAAATGGCACCAATAAAGCTGACAGTCTAAAGAGGCTTGGTGACAAACCCCATGTTGAACTGCAGGTCACAGAGGCCCCAGATGTGATTGGGAGACACACACACATACACACACACACACACACACACCCCCTATACAATATACACGTTGCACATAGACGTGCAACATCCCTGATGTATGAGTGAAACCACTGAAAAATTGCTGTTGTATTTAAAAGCTAATTATAAGCCTGTACTAGAATATCAAATTTTGCAGACCTGGGAAAAGCACTTTATCTTAACCATTTCCAAGCAAATACCTTCAGCATGAGGTGAAAGGATTCAAGGCCTACTTTGACTATACAAAGCCCAGGCCTTTGCATTTGCCTAGCAGACTCTCATGCTCCCTGATTTAGCCACTTGTAAACTTTGTAATCTTTACTAAACACAGGCTAGTTTTTAGCAGTGACCTATAACATTTGACCTGAAAAATACTGTTTCTAAAGGAGTGGAATGAAACTGGAGGTAACAAAGAATTAGAAAAAAAAAGAGATGGGGACAATTAGGGTGAGAAAAGAAATAGTGGAAGAAAGATAAGAAAATCTGGGAGAGACATGTCAGTAAAGAACTCCAAACATAAGGCAATAATAAAGTGTCTTAAAAACCAGCTAGTTGGCAAACAAATATTAAGAGTTAAATATTAAACTCTATTTAATGACATGCAGGCTGAAATGTTTAAGAAGCCTAATGATATAAGCAACTGACTTGGAAATTCACCAAAAAGTGAAATGGATTGATGAATGGATAAAGGATCGATACATAATATAACTTTTTTTTTTTTGAGACAGAGTTTTGCTCTTGTAGCCCAGGCCAGGGTGCAGTGGTGTGATCTCGGCTCACTACAACCTCTGCCTCCCGGGTTCAAACGATTCTCCTGCCTCGGCCTCCCACATAGCTGGGGTTACAGGCATCCACCACCATGCCCAGCTAATTTTTGTATTTTTAGCAGAGACAGGGTTTCACATGTTGGCCAGGCTGGTCTGGAACTCCTGACCTCAAATGATCTGCCTGCTTCAGCCTCCCAAAGTGCTGGGATTACAGGAATGAGCCACCACACCCACCCATAATAAAACAGTTATAGATAAATGTTCACTGTAGAATCTAGGTGGTGAGTAGATGCTATGTACCATAAAATTATTTCATCTTATCTCTATTTTGAAATTTTCTGTAATAAAATGTTGGGGAAAGATAAATGAACATTGAGAATCCCAAAATTAAAATAGAATGAACACAAATAAAAAAAAAACCGTAGAAATTAAAAACATCCTAGCCATTTAAAAATGTCTAGGTATCCCTTTCATTTGTTTTCCTTTTACATGACATTGTCTCCAAATATGTAACTCAATGAAAGAAGCTGGTTAAAGATGTGATTATCAAGTTTGAGTGACTAGTTTTGCTGCTGTTATTTCATTGATGTTATTTTGAAGTTGTTGTCTCTAGTCAACTAAAATTAATGAGACTGTTAAAGTCATAATTTGGTGAAAATTTTGCCCAAAGTAGATTTTACTGTCACTTTCTTCCAAGTGGACTTAATTCCCTCTCACAACTTACAAGCTTCTTCTTACAGATAACCACTTAAAAACATAACAGAACAAAGAACAGTTTACAACCCCATATATTTCAGGGTGCTAATTTGGAATGGTTTTGGAATGTTTTAGCCCAGTCAAATTAGTTTTATCTGGTTTATTTTTCTTGCAAATCTTCAGTGGATCTACATAACTAAATTTGGTAGACTTAATTTTCACTGAGGACTGACCCCAAAGTTAAGTGCATCAGAGAGAGAGAGAGAGAGAGAAAAGAGAGTGACAGCTTCATTTTACCCACCTCTTTGAACTAAACTATAAAATGACAGTTTTTATTCTGTGATTGGAGAAATCAGACAGGAAAAGGAAATGCAGGGGATAGCAGTTACTGTTAAGGGAAATCTAAAACCTCCATGTTAATTTGTCTGTATGTCTCAAAGAGGACTTTATCTCCATACTCGAAGCATTTTACATATAACTCAACTTGTGCAGCAAACTACGTTTTTCAGTAGTAACTAACAGTAAAAATATAAACATATATATTTTAGTCAAGTCCACCTAGTATGTCCAAGACAAGTTTTTAATCATAAGGCATTGAATTTCAAAGAAAACATATGCAATTCTATTTAATATACAAAACTGCATTGTGGGGAAGCCTCACAGCTCAAAACATGATCACACAAAGGGGGCAAGGTTGGAGGCTGGGGTTAGTTTAAAAATATCTGTCTCTGAGCAGCACATTTCACACTGGAACGTGACGGGCGAAAGGTTATTGTCTGCAAGTTTTCACCCCAGGGAATAAATAGAAAGGGGAAAAAATGGGAAAGTACTTAAGCAACTTTCTGCCTTTGAAAAAGCAAGTGCAGAATAGTAGACACTGTGGGGAGTCTTCTTTTCTAAGCCAGCGACGGCATTTCCAATACCCTGACCCATGAAAGGAGGTGTTGGGAGTTCAATGCTCACCAAATGGCTGGCTTGGAATCTAGAATTGGAAAATCAGTGGGTAGAAGTAGAAATCATTTATAAAAGCAAAATATGGCAGAGGATCTGCAGGAGACCAGGCTCCCTGACTGGTAGTTTATCTTCGGTAGCATTCCGGGGCTTTGTCCCTCTTTCCTCTTTGCTCAGGTCATACCTCAGTTCTGAGGAGTCAGGGGGTTCTAGGAACCCAGAACAGTAGAAACTCAGAAAACCTAGAAAACCGCTCTACTATGGGTGTCAGAAACTTGCTTCCCCACCCCGATTGCTGAGATCGTTTTTGCAGACTCATGGTAGACTTTTAAGGCCTCACTCCATTTATGTGAGAGGAACAAAAAGTCTCATTTTATGAGTACCTCATTTTATGAGTACCTCCAAAGGCTGCATAGTTCTAAGTAGTGTCCACAAAGTCTTTCTCTAATAGGAGAACAACACTTTGAAGAATCTATCTAATGAAATCACAGGACTGTTTGGGGAAATTTTATGTAATTGTAATCTGTGAAACACAAACAAACCAAACACTGATTAAGAGCCAGATGGCCCAAGTATTAATCCCAGCTCTGCCATTTCCCATTTATGTACACTGAGCTGGATTTTTATATCTCTAGTCTCAGCTTTCCCATTTGCAAAATGGGGATAATAATACTATACTACTACTGCTACTAATCATCATTATTATTATCACAGGGTGATTTATGGTAAGGATCAAATAACATAATACAGCATATATCATGGTGCATCACAGATATTAAGTGTTTAATAATTACTTAATAACTTCATTACTTCTATGTTCATCATTATTATTATCTTCCAGGTCTGAAAGAAAATATAAACTTGGGAGATGCTTATTTATGGGAGACTCTTAGTTAAAGAGTCTTGGACAAGTACTTTTGTAGCTTGGTTTGAAATGGTTTAGAGTAAGTTACTTTGGCTTCATTCTGTTAATAGAAAAAAAGAAGTCAGAGGAAAAAGAGGAGATGAGGAGGAAAAAAGGTAAAAGAGTGCATTTGTAGGCAACCTTGACTGTGAATACAAAGCCTCTTTCTCTCTCCAGAGTTTTGTGGCTATTTGCAATCACCTTAGCAAGACTGAGGAAAGTCCCATGGTGTTTTCCATCCATAAGCCATATTTGAAATGCATGAGGTAAGTCCCTTAATGAAAAATGAGATATCCTAGAGGCAGAGAGTACAGTTTTCTGATGTTGCCATGGGCTAGGAGAAGTAGGTGCTGGTATCAGCTTTCATCACCACAAGGCAATAAGAAAACTCTTCCAAAATGGATTTATCATAGTTGAGAGTTGAGCTTTAATAGCATCCTTGTAAATGATGCTAAAAAGAAACTTTTTATTGGTGATATAATCTTGATGGGGGGAGGAGAAATTACTTAGAATTCACAACTTAAAAAAATCACATCATCCATTTGTATGTAGCTGGAGTTGGCTGCTGGCAACAGAAACTGACTTGGGCAACTTAAGCAGAAGGGAATTTTGGGAAGGTTATAGATACTGCTTAGGATGACTAGGCTTAGAATGAGCAAAAACCATGGAAACTCTGGAGGGCTAAACCATTGCTGCTTGAGATGCATGATTGACAACCATCTTTATATCATCGTGTGCTTCCCTCAAGATTCCAAATCCCAGGAAAGCATATCTGATTGGTAAAGTCCTAGTCATGTGATCTACCCTGGATATATTAGGGCTGTTCTGTCATCAGTAGACATCATCTGTTCCCATGACTACACACAATGAGGGATTATCTAGAAAAGCAATCCGGATGCTATAAGTACTGAATACTGGAGAGTCCCCGTCTCCCCAAACCACTCAAACTTTTATACTGTACTTTTTAAAGCATTCCAAATCATTAGAATTAAACCCTGTTATTTCTAATTATGGCTATTGTCTTTGCCACATTTAAAATAATCCTATTCTTATTCCACAAAGTAATTCTTAGAGCTCCGACTTTTCTAGTTCCAGTTCCAGTTCAGTTGCTCTTTGTCAATCTAAGAGCTTTTGAGAAAAAGTAGAGATATTCATGGGCATTGACAGAGATGTTACAGTTCGGATTTACCTTCATCACTTTGAAAAAGATGAACTAAAATTATCTTTTCTATGAAATTAACCAACATAAAAATAGAGTGATAACCAGTGGTGGTGAGGGTTTAGCAAACCACTGTCATACATTATTGGCAGAAGATTAAATTGATACAGCCTATACCATGAGCAATTTGACATTAAGTATCAAAAGCCTTAAAATGTTCACATCCTCTGACTTACTAATTTCATCTCTAGAAATTTGCCTTAAAGGGAAAAA